TATAAAAGAAGTCATACGAGGGGCAACTTTGTATAGGTCAAGGGGATAGGACCCTAGTGGGCCTTTACCTTATCACAGGGCACCAGTACCGTGCTTTGCCAACAATAAACCTGGCCAAGTGCCTTCGCCACTGAACCGAGCCTGTGGTCTTTCTTATGAATAACATCGAGTTCTACTGAATTAACATGGAGCGCTGTTTGCTATTGCAGCTGACATCAAAACTCCAAGAACAGCAGCACTGAGCAGCAGCAACAATGCCGCTGCAGCAGCATTCTGTGGCATTAACAACAATAAGCTCTTTATATTCTTCCTCTAACTTAGAAGATAACTGCTGAGTTATCAAACATATAGTAATAAAGACGTTTAAAATCTTTGCTGACTTAATTGCTTTCTCCTGGTTGCGCAACAACTTCTCATTAAGAAACCTTTAGGTCAGAATAAATTTACAATGCTGGCAACTGTCACCACCTTCCCAATTTGCAAATAGAATTTTTTTCCCTGCAAGTGTCAGGGAAACAGAAATGGCGACACTTGGTTAACTATAAAAATAAATGCAATCTGGCTAGCAGCGTGAAAAAGAAATTTACACCCATTAAGAATGAGTATGGTGCAGATATTAAAATTTGTTTTTAAAAAAATCATAGTTTTCTTTATTTACTTCTGAAGTAACAGCTTTCCACAGATAAAGGTTTTCCTACGTGTTGATGCATCTTTTCTGGAATTCTGTAGCAACTCTAATACTTCACTGCACTAAAATTATAAGTTCCTTATAGTAGTGATTTGATTAAAACTGCTAGGGTTGAGTTAAATAAGAAAAATGGAGAGAGGTTCTATCCTTCCCCCATACACATCTTGTACTATAGCTTCCTCATGAAAATCCTATGATTTATGTTTCAGTCTTGATATATAGTACTTGCAAATGCCTAAAAACAAGAACTGTAAAAGATTAAAGTTTTATGACTGCCCAACTCAGAGTCAAAGAGAGCAGTTTTGTATCTAGGCCAACATATCTGCTATATCACTGGTCAGAGTTCCATCATTAAGGTTGTGTTTTGCAATTAAAGCATGGACTCAACCTCCCTGTTATGTATGATGAATAAAGCATACCCTCCTATTTCTTTTATCTTTTTTACAGTGCAAATATTTGTAATAAAAAATACTAATATGAAGTGAGCACTGTACACTTTGTATTCTGTACTGTAATTGAAATCAATATATTTGAAAATGTAGAACATCCAAAAAATTTTCTAATAAATTTAAATTGGTGTTCTATTATTGTTTAACAGTGTGATTAAAACTGCAATTAATTGCAAATATTTTTTTTTAAATCATTTGACAGCCCTAGTAGATTCTACTACCTGCAGAGTTAAAAGTTATACTTCCAGTACTTCCAGGGAGCATGCATACATTTCCATGAGATATTTAATTTCAATTTTATGGTTTTCTTTGAGAACTATTATCCAAATGTCACTGAGTTTTGCTGCTATAGTTACTTTATTAGAGTCTCTTAGCCAAACACCTATTCTGACTAGCAACTGGCAGAACAAGAATATTAGCATCTGCTTTTCTGGATTTCTTGTACTCTATTTTCACATTATATCACATATGCAGTTAATTCCTGAAGCTCCCTTGTCCCTCATTTATGGGATGTGGTATGATCACCATTAAAAAGTCAGCACTTACAAACACTTACCACATTAGTATTGGACATAACAGGTTTTTTTTCCTATACTGGGAATACAAAAGACCCACTCGACACCCCTATGAAATTTTTGGTAAATCTTGACTGTTTAATCATGACTTTTTGAAAAAGTATTGTCCTAGAGATTGGCCACCGGTCAGGTTTGTGAGTAAAGATGGCCTTAAGAGTACTGTATCCCATTAAAGCTGCAGCAGGAACGAAGATAGGAAGAACATAATAATGCACAGCAGCAGCCACCTTGTTCTGTGCTCTTTCCAGCTCACACAAGCTAAGTAGGATCAGGCAGCATCAGCACTTTTAGGCCAATTAAGTTAGTGAGATTTTTGCCATTGATTTCAGTAAGCTTTAGGTCAGGCCCTTGGATAGTAAACCTCCTCAACTAGCTGTCTTGTGCCGCTGGTGTAAGAGCCAAGTAATTTGGAAGTAGAACTTCTTCAGTGAAAGGCCGGCCTCAGCTAGCCCATGTGTTGCCATGGTCAGAGAAAGCTGCAGAACCCATGTTTCACACAAGTACTTCCACAATAAACGAACCAGTAGAAGAAACTGAGAACATGCTCCTGGATGACAGTAAATGAAACAAGGGAAGAGTGAATGCAATAGGGTGCCTAATTATTATAATGACAGTTGGGTTAAAAGTGCAGAGACACAGATATAGTAAACAGAAAGGAAATGCACAATTTTTATTGAATATCTTTTACGAACTCCTAAAGGAATTTCTGAAAGTCCATCAATGAGGTAAAACAGAAGAACACTATGTACACCTAGACATATTTTCAGAAGAAAAGCACAGAGAACCTCTCTTGAAAAGGGTGAGTGGAAGGAACTGTACATTTAATACTGGGATCTTCACTCTTTTTTTAATACTGCTCACTGTTCCCTATCCAAGTACTGTCACTTTAAGAAAAGTTTGGACAGGATGACTGTGTTCTCTTTCCTCCTCCTTCCCCTTTCTCCTACATCTTTATCTCATCGTTCTTTCCCCCACTTCTCATTTCTTCTTTTAAAAGCCGCCCACCTTCTCAGAGCTAATGGGAACCAGATACCATTACAGATTTCATCAGCCTCATGAAGCTAGAAAAACAAAAAGCCACAATTTTACTGCATTCTTGATTTTCCAGTGAGCCTTTTTAAAATTCATCTACAAATATAGCCTACTCAGAGAAATGGCTTCCACAAATGCAGTGAAAACGCCTAATATCTATTCTCCTGGGCTTGTTACATTACTTTACATATAAATAAAAGCAGAAATTTTTCTGTATGAAAAATTCCACTGGATGTTATTTCCTCATGGAATCATTACTAGAATGCACCATCTTGTGATCTTTTTATGCACACTGTACAGTACATGTGCATATCTCTTAGTTGCAGTTGAAGCAAATACCCATGTTTATTTTTCTTTTTTTGTTGACACAATGGTATTGAGCTTCCAGAAAAACTGCGTGGGCTGTTAAATCCTGTTCTGTAGAAATTAAGTAAATAATCTACAAAATTAGATTATAATATTTAACAATTCTGATATCAATACATCAATTCATTAACCAAATACAGCTGTAACTCATGATATAGCAATATAGCATTTATCAGTGTCCTTTAGGGAATTTAAGTATATCAGTTTATGGTGTTCATCTCAAGGTAGATATTAATTTAACTGGTATGCACAAAAACTCTAGATTGTCCTAGGTGAGGCATTTCAATCTTACTTTAAACTGAAACTGATAGATTATTTCTTGAATTGCTTGAGTATATGCACTGAAATGGCATTATAGTTTTCTAGATTTACTAGAAAATAAACTAGAGATTAACCTGAATCTAAACCCATTATGCAAAAACTCCCACTAAGTGTTGGATGTTCACACCCACCTTTAAAAGTTGTGGGACAATCTGTAAATTAATCCCTCCCATGCACCTTCCCCCATCAAATGTAAACCTAATATTTTTATAAAAATAATATTTCCACAGAATTACAATAGAAATTTTTAGTTCTGTTACAAAATATTTTAAGGGAATCATTTCTTGTCTTTAACATTTTGCTAAGTCATTTTCCCTACATTATAAAGAATTGTGAGTATTGATTGGGGTTCTCAAATTTTTACATATGTGGGTGCTTATAAGAGAGGTTGGCTCAGATATCACTTTCCATTACTTTTGTGATCACCCAGACTGTTCCCTTCTCATATGCAATCAAACAACAACCTTGCAGCAACTATACTAATAGTGTACAGGGAAAAATATTAGGAAACAATTTCATTATTTTCACTTGTCTTTCAATGCAATTTAGCAATGCAAGGAGGAGAGCCAGAACCATGAGACCAGCCGGTGCCCTGTGAACTACCAGTCAGGGCCGGCTTTAAGCCGATTCCCCCGATTCCCTGGAATCGGGCCCCGCGCCTAAGAGGGCCCCGCTCCAGGGGTCTTCGGCGGCATTTTGGCATTGGGGTGTCCGTTCCGGGTGTTGGTGTCACTAGGCATAACCCTAGGTAACTTGGGAGGGTGGAAGACCTCGAGTGTTGATGAAGCCTTCCTGCACTAGGCCTAAATTAACCAAAGCTCCTCCATGTTTGAACTTTAATCGACCTAACAAGCCAGCAACAGAGAATGGAATGTGTAACAGTCAGTTATCAGTTGCAACACCGCTCAAACCGGTATAAAGCGGTACTAATAAGGCCTGCATGCTTCTGGCTGAAAGGCAAAATAACAGATCAAAGGGAAAAGGACAAGATAACGGTTCACAGAAGAGTTACTAACAAGCTAGACTTATAGCCGCCAAGATGACTTAACTGCTTAAATATAATTGCTACTGCTTAATGTAACTACTATAGGAGGAAGGGAGGGGGAAAGGGAAGAGTTTAGTTACAGTAAAGCATAAAAAGAGAAAACTTGCTTATGTTGGTGTGCTTGATCTGAGACGTGCCAAGTCTCTTTGCACCGCTTTGAGATCTCAAATAAAACTTTGATTGCTTCTCCACCCTGGTGTGCTCATTGGCGCGACGCACACCGGGCAACGAACCCCGCTGTTGCTTTCCTCGGGCACTCTGTGCCGGCAACACGGGGGTCTTCAGCGGCATTTCGGCGGCGGGGGGTCCTTCGGTGCCGCGGAAGACCCGGAATCAACCCCCCGCCACCAAAGTGACACCGAAGCCCGGGACCGCCGCCCGGTATTGGAATCGTGCCCTGCGGGTCATAAAGCCGGCCCTGCTACCAGTGCTCCATGGACCACAATCTGAGAATGTCTGATTTAGGTTAATTTAAAATATAAAGTCTACATAGCCACCATAGGGAAGGCTGTCTCACTACCTACCTGAGTTTCTGATTATACTGTTTGACCTTTTCCAGTGAGGCTGCATTAATCTGGGCTTGAAATTCTTCTACTGACACATTGTCTCTGTAATAATATCCTTCCATGCTTTCCAGTGCTGTGATAAGAGAGAAAAAATAAGTATTAAATATTTACTATACTCTTTCTCTGCACTTAGAACCTGTCTGCAGTCTAGTGCCATACTTCTTAATCTTGAGGCTGTGACCCTCAACATTGATTGCAAAGCTGTTTCTGTGTGTCATCAAATTTCTACAGATCTTTCTCTAAAACTTCGTTTACAAGAAAAACATTTCTTGCCCTTAAGAAAAACTGTAAAAGACAGGGCTAATATCAGTTCTGTGATTCTAATTAGAGTGCTTCTGCCCTCTGAATGTAAATACACAGGCACAATTTAGAACAGATTTTAGTTCTGAGGTGACCTTGGAAACCTCTGGTACAATGAGATACTGTAGCAGTGGTTAGGCTACAGAAAAGGAAGGGACACATAATGTCTCTCTTTTACAAGGCCTGATCCTGGGATACGTGCAGCCCCTGAAACTCCAGTTGCTTTATTCGAAAGTTTCAGGTGTTCAGTATTTCTCAGGACCAGGCTCCACTAAAAAACTTTTCCAGACAGCCTGGAAAATGCCTTCGTGGACTGAAAAAAAATCTCTACTTTGGGATCAGAAATGTTTTCAGTGTCATGGAAACTTTACTCTGACTCCCTGTCAGTTAATGTATATACATCTATAATTAAATTAAATGGAGGGGGCGGAGAAGTGAAAAATGACAGAGTGATGAGGTAAATCATTTAACCCTTATACTTTTGGCACAGTTTTCCCAGCTCTAGTTCACACAAAAAAACAAAAACAAAACAAAAACAAAAAAACCACTCAATTTAATGTAGATAGTCAGGATGTTAAATCGTTTTTATAGCTGAGTCATACCTACTTTAAAAGACCTATGAGTGTGCAGCTGAGAAATCAAGATCTTCACATTCTGATCTTATTAGATTAATCTCATAATATAGAAATGGGACTTCAGTTAAATACCTGTGGGGGAGAAGCACTATACAAATTTTAAGAGTTAGTTACCCAAGAGAACGATCAGAAAATGCATCTAATAAGCAGAATTCTTATGGGGACAGCTTGCAGGTTCCGAGCCCCAGTTCCACACCAAATACTAATTCTCATGACAATTCTTAATGTGACCAGTCAGTAAATAATTCATTCATTGTTCAAGAACATGCAAATCACAGTTCCTCTGAGTACTTATAGAGTTCATAATTTTGCTTCTGTCCAAAAGATGGTAAAGACCAATGATCAAATTGCCTCCTAAGATGCCTGTCTTGAGCTCAACCAGACAGGGCCCATGTGGAGGGCCCACTGTTCTCATTGGTATCTGCATGGTTGTAGGTTTCCAAGTTAGTAGGTTCTGTTGCAGAATTGGGACCTTACTGTGTAGAACAGTTTTGCTCTCCCCTTAAAGAGAGAAGAGGGCATTGTAATGCAGAGGAGAGAGGTGCTTCTGTTTTGTATATTTAAAAACAAAATAGAAAAGTCTAGACTGAGGTTAAATGTGAACTGCCAAAAAACGTTAAAAATAAAAACAAATGTTAATTTCAAAGTTAAACAGGTTAATTAGCTCAACTGCAAATGTAAATCTGAAATAAAGAGTTTGATTTTTTTTAAACTTATTTATTCAGTAGATATAAACTCACCCACTGGGAATTCAGAAGACTTTATGACAATAGAAATATCCCCACATATTTTCTCCCTCTCTCTTTCAAACACATATATCATATTCATACATACACACATGCTCTGATCCTGCAAGGAGATATCATTTCTGTCCTTTTGAGATCTGTATAGTTAGTCACATGGTTCTAAAAAGTCTGGTTTACAGGTAGAGGGATACATAAGACATGGTAAAGATTTCTAAAGCTCTCTACAAATTTTCTAAGGCCCCAGTCCTACAACTGTTTATACACATGCTTAACTTTATACATTGGAACTCAATTAGACTACTCACTAGCATAAGATTAAGCATGTGTGTATTTGCAGGAATGGGGACTAAAATTGTTTTTTTTTTCTTCTGTAAAATACTGTCTGTAGCCCATACAAAACGCATGATGGTGTAATATGAAGATTTAAGTGTCACTCATCTGAAGTGACCTTCACTGACTCATGTATTCATCCTGCAAGTAACAAAAACCCTTTCCAAACTCATGCTGCTAAAAATCTTTTATACAACAACACCATGTAGACTCTGTATTTAGGCTGGAAAATAGCTTGGCTCTATTGAGTCTCAGACAGCAAGACTTTTTCTCCAAAAAATAAACAGCTGCATCTACAAAATGCTCAGTTCTTGAAGAGATGACATTTTCTCTCTTGATCACGAACAGGTTTCAGTTAGATTTGGAGAGAGTTTCTTGTCAGCCAGTGTAAATGAAGATCACAGCTTTGATAGTACATCATTATAAAACTGATGTGAAAATGAGTCACAGCTCAATGTGAGTGTAAGAAAAACGAAAGTGAAGTTACAGTAGTTCAATGTATCAGTCAGTAAGACTTTTGTCATCACTAGAAGGATAGCATGTCTACCTTCTGCAGCTGGGTAAAGTGATGATAGGAAGGAGGAAATGGGTGTTATGCAAGGCATCTGGTTCTCCCCCTTGTTCAGAGTATTTTTCAGAAAGATGTAGAGTTTAACATGGATCCCAGATCCAATACAGATGTGGGTGAAACTGGCTGATTTCACAAAGCCAACCTCACCGGTGAAGTAGGATGGATTTTCTCAATGACATTTTGATAGGATAGTGAATAAAGAAATCTCAGGAGTTTAAATACTGCAAATTATTAAATAACTGGGCCTTCTGGGAATCCTGGTCTCTTGCTCCCTTCCTCAAGCTAGCTGATGGTGAAAACAGCTAGTGCCATGTCTGAACTTGTCTGCTGAGACCAGGGGGCATGTCTTAATATCCAACCACCTGTCAGGAATCAGGGCCTGCAGCACAGGCAGCCTCATCAATACAGCTGGCCTGCAGCAAGCTGACCATAACAACTGTTTGGCTGGAGGGGTCTGCAGGGTGGCTCTTAAGACAGCAGAAGCAGTTAGCTGACTGCTCGATGCTCATGCCCACCACTGTGAAGTCTCCTGTGTTACCTTGTTTCTGCTGCTCCTGCCTTGCACCTAGCCTTGCCTCTGTCCTGCCCTGCCTTGAATCCCTCCTTGCTCCAGTTCCTGACCTCCAGCTTGACTCATGACTTTGTTTCCTGACTATTGACTCTGGCTTGACCCTGGGTTCAGGTATCCAGTTCCCGTCTCTGGTCTGACTCTTGGCTCCAGCTTCCGACCACTGATGAGTTCAGGTATCCAGTTCCTGTCCTCTGGTCTGACCTTTGGCTCCAGCTTCTGACCACTGATGCCTGTTCCAACCACTAGGCATGATGCCTGCTCCGAACAATAGGCTTAACGGCCCTCATCCCAGTTGCCTGACGCTACTGCCCCATTCAGTGTAAAAAGTCACGGGCAATTCTGCAGCACATTCTGTACAGGAAAGAAACTTTAATATTTTCAAGATCATATTGGAGCCAAGCTATTTCCCATTCTTTGTGTGTCTTTATCATCTCATCATCTGCTGAGATGTTCCTGATGTTATTCAGTCTCCTCGTTGCCTCTCCAGTGGGTGAATTTAAATCTATAAATAGTTTAAATGAAAAATCATTCAACTTTTTCTTTGGGACTTCATTTAAATTTGAGCTAACACCTTTTACTTTCAAAGATGTATTTGTCTTGACTTTAGCCTGAGGGTTTTCTAGTCACCTTTAAATATTTTTGTATTGTAGTTACTTTTTATTAGATCAAAAGTTTCCACAAATTCTTCCTTTCCTTCATTTACTTGATTTATGAGCCCATTCCGGGTGTGTGCCAAGGACCTCCTGCAACATACTGAGAGCTCTCAACTCCCACTGAACTCAAAGGAAGCTGAAGGCAATCAGCACTTGGCAGGAGGCATTTACCACTTTGGTGAATCAAACCCCATGTTCCTGATGACTATAATGACACCACTGCTCACTGTAGGGAATAGGCAATTTACAAACAACATAAGCATCAATGCCATTCATCCTTTCACTAATGTTTGTGGTGTCATGGCGACAGATACTTGGAAAAGATATTTAACTCTCCATATGTTTTAAAGAAGAATCACAGCTGATATCACCTTAGTCCTTTACCTGTTTTTTCTTGCTTTGTTCATTTGGAAAATGAATTTTTTTTCAATTTAAGAGAATTTTCAGGTCTGAGAATTGCCCACTAATATCCACATTGAATGAACTTACAAAAAAACAAACAAAAAGAGAATCCACTTATTCTCTGCAGTCGGTGTCAGTATGATTGGTTTAAACTCAGAAGTATGCTCTGGAAGAGTTTATATGAAAAATATACTTCATTCCTTTAAAATTAAAATTCATCTCTGAATTAGAACCCCAATTCAACAAAGTATTTGAATTGAGGCCCTAATTCTGAACTTAATGAGACTATTCATGTGCTCAGAGCTACACATGTGATTAAGTACCTTGCTGAATCAGGGCTAAGAAGGGACTGCTATTTTCCAGACACTATTTGAAGGTATAGAAAAAGAATTACCTTGTGCAAAAAGTACTGGGTGGATTTTAAACCCTCCTCCATTCTTCAGCTTTTGAGGAAGCTGCTCAAAATGGTAACTATCAAGATAAAAGTAAACCTTCAAAGCTTGCCGGCTTCCTTCTGCTTGATATGTGATTGGAACATCTAAGAAAATAGTTAACATTGCCATGTTATTAATAGCCAACAACTATGTGATATTTTCTCTTCCAAAAACTAGAAAGAATGTTACACTCAAAAATTATACACAGCCAAATTCCTGTCCCTAATTCTGCCTGCTTTGCAATGGAACACCACCACGAAGCAGGCAGAAAGATGCCTTAACAGTCAACCACAGGTTCCTGCAACAGAGGGGAATCTTCAGGTGGTGTAAAGGTGATTCTACACCACCTACTTTCCCACAGGTCTATGAAGGGTGGGGAGGAAGCATGCCAGTGGCAGGAGGGAGTGGGGTGTAGTGCATACTGCTTTTTTTGATCCTCATCTGGGAGAGCAGACCCTTTGTGATCACAGCAGCTGGCATGAATTAAAGCAATCCATAGGCTGCTTTAAGTTATGCTTGGGCCCACTTTGGCCTCTAGCCAGACCAGGATCAGTGGAGTAGACAGATGCCTTACAGCCACCTTTCATTCCCCTCTCCTCAGTGATGCCAAGTATGAACTCTGTGTACCTAAGAATGTGTCCCATGATATTAATTCTAGTCATTGAACCATGGCCTGCTCACATCAGAATGTCTGTAATGCATAAAGCTGAGGAATATATAACTACAGAACCATTCAATGAATAATAGTTAAATTGGAGACTCATTTTCTGACAACTGATTTCTTACTGTACAGTACATAAAATTATATAATAGTATGTTTCATTACACTCTGACACACCAGATGTCACACTGAATTAAATGGGAAGTTCCCTTTCACATTGGTTTAGATTCTTAGATCTTCTAATGCCTCTGGCTCTATCATTTGCAATGATTCCCCAATGTACATTTTCAATGTTGTGCAGGTGAGTAAGCATAGAACTGCCATTAGCAAAAGCCAGTGAAAATTTACCCTTTTTACTCTAAGGGTCCATCTACACTTTGAATTGGGGGTGTAATTCCCAGCTTAACTAGACATACTTGTGCTAGCTCTGACTGATCTAGTGCGCCAAAAATAGAGCGTAACCACAATGGTGCAACCAGCATGAGGGACTAACCATCCTGAATACGTATCTAGCAGGGTGAAAATATTAAAAGATTTGCTAGGTAAGTAATCAGGGCAGCTAGTGTCCTGCTCCTCATACTGCCATGGCTACACTCAGTTTTTAGCATGCTAGGTCAACCACAGCCAGCACGGATATATCTGATACTCAAGCTTCACATTACACTTCCAGATCAAAGTGCAGACATACCCCAACCTTAACATTTGCAGAGTTACAGCAGCTTACTTCAAATAAAAATTCATGCATATTTCCAGTTATAATTTTAAATTAAAAATTTTTAAAAACTACAACCTGTAGCTGTTATTGGTATTGATGCTATTAGATTATGATTTTGCAGCTCCAAGAAAAGGAGGTTAAATTGCCACTTGTTACTATTTTTTGGCATCAAGAAATAATTAATTTCTTTTAACTTTGGCAGTTATGCTTTGCCGTAAATGAAAAGCTGAATTTGCCACCAAAATCTGCTTCTCCATGAAACCATGAAGTTTGGATAGTTGTGATGGTGGCATTTAAATTAAAGGCTGAAATAGAGCTTGTTGCAATTTTGTTTTGATCTGAATGCTACACATAAGATCTCTGTATATCACCATATATGAGAAAGACTTTTCCATGGGAAGGAGACAATATGAGCACTGCACAACACAGGCAACTAATCTGCTCCCAACTAGGAATGCTGTCCAGGCTGACCCTCCACCCTGTCTTGGATTGATGTCTGGCTTAATGGGACCTCTTCTTAATGGGAAATGGTTGAAGCAGGGCTATGGAATCTCCTGCAGACTTGTTCACCCAACACAGCAGAAGTAGTATATGGATCAAATCCTAACTCACCACCAGCCCTGCAAATGTGAACCCTCGCAACACTCCGTGGCTGTAAGGTGGTACTTGAATTCTGGGAGTGCTGACACCCTCTCTCACTAGCAGCTTTGGGGTCTTTTTACTGTAAAAGTTATCTTGTGTGATCTCTATCCCCAGGGCAGTATTTGTTTGGAAAGCTTGAAGTTAATCAGACACGCTTTTCCTCCTGCTGAGTTATGAGACTTTGGAAAAGTGTGTTTTCATTCGCTGTGCCAAATTCACCGCAGGGTCTTAACATCAGGAGGGGGGTGCAGAGGCAGAAAAAAGCTGCAACCTCTCCTCCACCAGGAGTCGGCAGGCAGTCAGTGCATCCCCAAGAGTAGCTTGGGCATGGGGGATACTCTGATTCAGCACATCTCATTAGCCTGCACCAGCAGGGCTCAGAGGACACTTCTTGACAATTTAAAGCTGTCCCTGACCGACAGAACCCTGGAGGAAATACCATCTGCCTCTTCCCACTCAGAAGTCAATCTCCTCTTCTAGCACCATGCTCCTCATTGGTACTGAGAGATGTAAGTTATCCCTTCGCGTGTCACTGATGATGTAGATGTGAACAATGTTCTCATGTTCTTCTGTCCTCTCATAACTTGTTTTACACACTGCTCCTTAGTGAGAACTAGCTCTTCTGGACATTTTTTCTGGAATGGTCACTTATCCACTGGCTTCACTGAGACCTCGAATCATTTACTGAGGCTCCTGAACAGCTGTCAGATAATAATTACTTTTCACTGTGACTGACCTTTGCTGGATATCAGGAGATCTAGTGAGGAAAGGCTCTGTTATTCCATTCCCAGCCCCATGACCCATATCATTCCCAAATTAAGACATCTGCCCATGAGCTGAGATGCTCCAGAAGAGAAAAACATTATATTACTTTAAACATATCTAACATGCCACTGTTTGTTTATAGAACAATAAATCTCATAAATATACTTCTTTACTCACTTGCGACTAGTGGTTCTAGTTCTGACTGTCTAAAATAAAAAGTAACTTTTTCCAGGTCAAACAAAGCAACCAATGTATCTTCTAGCATGGCTTGTTCATCAGTCTGGAATGGAAAAAAAATCTCTACTCAAATAAAGATTATGTGATTTTAGCATGATGTTTCCATACTGGAAACCATATACAGCATGAACATGCAGAAAGTTACACCCGGATTCATTAAAGTATTAATCTAATTAACTTTCAGGAATAACAGATGATGGATTTGTTTTTATTCAGTTTCTACTCCCTCTTCTACTGGCAAAAAAATTATTATTAAAATTGAAATTAGAACTGAAATTATTAAACTATTTTGCAGCTAAAGTTAATTCACAGCTACCATTACAGCTACCATTTAATTTAATTTTAGTTGTTGTGTATGTAAATGGGCAAGCTTACAATGTATATGACACTAAGCCTAGATTTTAAAAATTCTTCTACATTATTGTGATGCACTGTTTTAAAATAGCACCCTGTAACCCCCTTAGTCATCATTTGTATATGGTTGTGATATTTCATATAAGGAATGCCTTGCAAGGTATCATATGAAAAGTCATGATCTACTGAAAATCATTGTTCTGTCAAAATATGTGTATCGTGATTAAGGCTATAATTTGGTCACGGAGGTCATGGAAGTCACGGAATCCATGACTTCCGCAGACCTCCATGACTTCAGCCTGCAGTGGCTCGGAGCTGCAGGGTATCCCCACCTCCCATGGTGGCCAGGAGCTGCAGGGTAGCCTGGCCACCCAGAGTGGCCGTGGTCCCCTGCAGCTTCCCGGTCCCCATGGGTACAGGGGTCCCCAGCAGCTCTCCAGCCACTGTGGGTGCAGGGGTCCCTGGCAGCTCCCCAGTCCCTGCAGGTGGCAGGGAATCCCTCAGCAGCTCCTCAGCCCCCGCCGCCACCGATAGGTGAACCCCCGGAGCTCCCCAGTCCCCGCAGGCAGCAGGGGATCCCTGGCAGCTCCTCAGCTGCTGCCACCAGAGGGGGAATCCCCTGCAGATCCCCAGTCCCCACAGGGGGCCAGGCTCCCCCGCAGCTCCCTAGTACCTGCGGATGTGGAGGACCTCCGTGGCTCCCTAGCTGCCACAAGCGTCAGGGGAACCCCCACAGCTCCCCCGCCTGGAGGGGAATCCCCCAGAGCTCCCCAGTCCCCAGGTGGTGGGGGATCCCCCACAGCTCCCAGCCGGGGGTCCCTCCCAGCTCCCAGCCACAGGGCAGGGTCCGCAGCAGCTCCCAGCCACAGCAGGGCAGGGTGCTCGACCCTCCTCCCTCCCTCCCTGTTTAGTCATGGACATTTTTAGTAAAAGTCAGGGACAGGTCACACCTTCCGTGAATTTTTGTTAATTGCCTGTGACCAGTCTGTGACCTTTACTAAAAATGTCCATGACAAAACCATAGCCTTAATCATCATTGTATATGGAATTATGATATTCTGCAATATGGTTGTTATTGAAGTTGTTGTGAGTTTGGCTAGCTCTCCAGTAACAACAATGGTGGTGACCCACATCCAAATGGGCATTAAGCAACCATCATGAGCCATTCACCAGCAGGGGAATTGTAAACAATAGATTTACAATTCTGTAAGAGGCAGTTGTGCAAACACCACACAATGAGGGTTGCTCAACTGTATGATTCAGCAAGGCCCACCAGGACATGTCTGGGCCAACATCTTTCCTGGGACATGAATTGAGAGTGTAAAATAAGGCACAGTGGCATCATGAGACCACCTTTCTCCTCCCTCACCTACTCTGAAGGCAACAAGAATGCTGGGAAGACAAAGACTTAGAACTGAGATTGGTCCCAGGCTGAGAAAGAAATTCAGCCTGTGTATTAAGAACTGTAATCTGCCTGCAACATCCAGTGGGGTGAGAAAAACTGCTTGATTCAAAATATTCCTTAGTCTGAAAGTTCAGGACTTAGAATGCGTGTTTACTTTTTATTTTCTTAGGTAACTACTTCTGATCTTTATACCTACCACTTATAATCACTTAAAATCTATCTTTCTGTAGTTAATAAACTTATTTCAATGTTTTATCTTAACCAAGTGAGTTTGTCTAAAATGCGTGGGGACTTTGCTGAGATTACAAAGGCTGGTGAATGTCCACTATCCTTTGACAAAGTGGCAAACTAATTAATGAGCTTGTATTGTTCAAGAGAAGGTCTTGAGCAGTGTAAGACGGTACATTTCTGGGGTGCAAGGCTGGTGGGGATTTGCTAGTGTCTCCCTCTCTATAGTTTATGAGGGGCTTAGAGAACATTCATGCAATTTAGCTGAACGTGTCGCTGCATGCTGGTGGCTGTGTGACAACAGCACCTGGAGGGGTTTGCTGCTTGTCACTAGCAAACCATTGTGCGAAACAGCCCAGGATGGAGAGTTAAGGGGGCACAGAGGTCACAGAGTTCCAGGTTGTTCCCTAGGGGTCCCATCACAATTACTACACAAAGTTAAAACTTTGTTTTTAAACACATCGGGGGAAAAAACACCTGAGCATAAGCTATCATTTATAGATAGTGGACGAGATTTTCAAAAGTCCCAGTTATGTGCTTAAGGGGAAATTTTTGTGCCAATGGTTGAATGGGCAGCTTAAATGTGGGTGAAAATAGGGGAGTAATTTTCACCTTGACCTACCCAATTTTGGATGCAAATCAAGTAGCTAGATGTGCCAAAGTCCTGATTGGCACCTGTACTTCATTTTTGCAGGCTCAGATTTTGTGAACTCTCAAACCAAAATGATGGAAAATCTTACCCTTTGAAAATCAAGTCTCGTACCACATAACTTCAAGAAGTAAATTATAACCCTTTCAAGATATTTTATTGGATCTCTAATAACAAGGGAAGTATTCACCAACAAATATAGTTAGCCTGGAAGTAAATACTTAGAGCAGTCACAGCAGAATCAATACTTACTTAAAATAATTGTATTTTCATATTACCGTCCCTTCTATGCTAAACTACCAAGCAGACAAATGTAAACCTGATGTATATTTAGTTCTTTCTGCAAGCATTGAAACAGTTAATAAATGCACAACAGAACAGACGGCAATAAACATATTCCCTATAACATGAGAATTAGCTGAATGTTACTGATTTACACAGAGGGGAAAAAACAATTTTCCCTGTTCCATGAACTTAAATAGTATTTCCCATGTATTTATGAAGAAGGGGTTATGCCTGCAACATTTTACCTAATGGTTCAATTTATTAACCCCCTGGAGAGAGGGCAATTTTTATCACCAGAGTAATCTGAATACCATTCTACCACATGGGAAATCTTTACAAAATTGTTCATTCTTTATTGAAATCCAGATGTAATGAGTATAACTGCCCTCACAAGCCCTTGTTTAAAGTAACATGGATCATCTGTATCTAGAGTGCTTGGTTAGAAAATACTGAAAAAGTTGTTCTTAAAGACTTTCCCCTGAAGTGATGAATGTTATTATTGGACTAACTCAGCACTCCTTTTTTGTGCAAAAAACTTTACAAAATTGAGTGTTAATTTTAATTTAAAATTACATAATTGGAACAATTCATCATGACTATTATTACCAGTATATGAGTACATGAAAATGACATTTAAATAATGTGGGATTTTAATTACAAAGGAGCAATTTCTTGAGCCTTGAAGCAAAATCCAGAAGTTATGGTGTACCTGTGGTAATGGTTATCTTGTGACAGAACTACAACAGCTAAGAAGGTGGTAAAACAGAATTGCAAATATAGAAGACACTATATTAAAAGGTCTCAAGCTTTCACAATAAGAAGTCAGAGACTGACTCATCAAACCAGTAGGCCCAATCCTCAGGACCAGCCATTTGGCACCTAGCAGCTCAGGGGAGGAATGACTGAAGAGGACATTGCAAAAACAGCTTTCCAGCTCCCTGATCATCAGACTACCAGATACCAGTCTAGTCCGCTAAGTGACTTAAAGTAGTCTCAGGGATCCATGCAGGCAGCCAGGGATTACTGGAGTGAGGGGGTGCTTTGGCTATGGCCCTTTTTTCTCAGCCACGACCCTTTGGCCAAGGGCAGTGGGAAGGGTGGCAAAGGAGCAACAATGGTCTACCTGTGGATTCCCTGCTGAATTCCTACTGGCTGGTTACATCAACTTTCAGTTTGGTTTGTGCCACCATGGCGGCAAAGCAGCCTCAGCGAGACTGAAGATTTAGCCCTTAGAGTTGAATTACCAAGGGAAAGTGGGGATTTTCTGTTAAAAATAGGTAATGAGTATTGTATTTTCCTTATATTGCTAATTACAGTGACTGAAGCTATGGTGATCACCTCATATATACTTATTGTTCAGAGGGGAAATAGCTGTGATAGCTGTGTGGTGTCTAATGGCATATTGGATTTTTAATCGCTACTATTGTGTGTTCCTCATACACCTTCTCAGTATCTAGTAACTTGAAACAGAAACATAACATTATGTTTGTGAGTAACATTATTAATTTCCCATATCAGTAATTATTTGAACCGCAGACTTCCTGAATAGCAGCTAATAAATACATGAGCTAAACACAAAGGATGCAGGATACTGTAAACATAATGCTCCTTGCTTTGTGCTGCCCTTACTCAGCACTGTCATATTGACTCACGTGTTTACTGCAATGAGATTCTTACCAGGTTAGGTGACAACAATGACTGGAAGTGAAGGAGGACACCTGCATTAGCTATCTGTTCCAACCACCTTCTGCTGGCCTCTCCAGTCTCCATTTCATACTCTTTGCTGTTGTCAAACATCTGATTTAAGGCAGCCATTAGTTGCTCTGAAAAAGCACAGACTGTGGCCACCAGACTTTGGCAGAAGACCATGTCTCGTCTGAGCTGTATCTCACTGTCTGTGAGGGAAAGACCAGAAGAGGAAAAGCAAGACAAATGGGAGAATAAATTAACAGTAAATTAACTGTAGCAAGTTTTTGTTTTGTTTTAAGCAAAAGAGCCGTTGTTTTCTGGAAAAATACAATCTCACATCGCAAAAAAACCTTAACTAAGAGATTTTACTCCTTATTTGAAAAAATTCAAAACAAATTAAAGGAGTTGTGTGAAAATAGTTAAATATGCTTTACGTACAAACCTGTTTAAAATTCACAATCCATTGAATAGTCATTAAAATGTCCCAATTTAGAAATCAAACTTTGGTAAGCAATTTACTTTCTGAGTCAGTAATGTTACTGTGGGTAGCTCATATTCCAAGCTTTGGAATTTGAGTAATTAACTCAGTAGAGTAAGTGTTGCCTTTAGCTTAATGAAGTATTTAATTAAAGTCTTCATGTAAATGCCACAATGTAACTTCCTTTCCAATACACAAGTTTTGTAGGTATCTCTGGCTCTTTCCAGATTCATGGTTCTGACCTATAAAACATCCATCTCTCTCGCTCCACCCCCGCCACCCTTCCTCCCTCTTTCTGTCTGGTGGCAATTTCTCTTCTGCTCATAGGTCCTTCTTCTACAGACTCCAACAAAAAGTCATTTTTCAACCCTCTGCCTAGTTCTATTTTGCTCATCATCATTCTATCTTTAATTCTTATCAAGCTCATCATGATATCACTCAACTGCAAATATCTTTCAACCTTTAATGTCTCCCCTCTTGTCTTTTTCAGCTTTCTGCCTGTCACAACTAGATTGTATCCAAACCGGAACCAGCACCTAAAACAAAGACCTGCTCCACATGGCAGCACCATTGCTGTGAAACACCTGCCTTGCTGCCTGAGCATGCACTAGTTAGGGGGCATGTCAAGGGGAAGAACTGGCCCCTCACTCCATCCCCAAGAAAGCTGATTGGTTATTGTACCCATGTTCAACATCCTACTATCAGCCCTCTTGCCATTACAGGATGGATATGCTACTCCAGAGGAGAATCTGCCACGCCCAAGTTTGGGACAGTTATAAATGGTTATAGGTCAGTTGGTCAGCTCTTGGCCTATCAGTTGTGAGAGACTGCATGATGTGAGCTGCAGACAGGGGTCACATGATGTTGCTGCTGGACCACAGCAGGCCCAACCACAACCTGAACACAAGGGCTGTAAGACAGGCCTAGAAAGAAGGTGGGACCAGAGGTGTAACACAGGGCAGCCAGCAGGGACTGGGTGACTGCAGGCCAGAGAAGATCCAGTTCCTTGGAGAAGAAGCCCTGACTAGTACTTCAACTACAACTTCAGGCCCTGAGGATGACGGGGGAATAGAATCTGGCCGGTGTAAGCTCATCCTTTATAGAAACATTGGCCACCAATCCAATGGGAAAGAGATGTTCCCTAACCTGGGAGCGAGATTGGTATACACTTGGAGATGTTTGGTACCAATGGAGTAAGACCTCTTTTATTAGAATCTAGAGTTTATTGCATTGAGGCTTAGTGCATAATTCCTGTGGTAATTAACTACATGTGACTCTCAAAGTGTTCCTTTTATTAACACTACAGCTCCATTCATGAAGGCTGATAAAGGTGTTGGGATATAGTTGTGTATTGTAATTCTTCCTGGTTACTGATTTCACAAAGATAGAAGAAAGATTCTCCACCCCAGAGCAAAAGGGTGTGAATTTGAGACAGCCTAGCAAAATGGTGAGCCCCCTACTGCAATCAACCCCACATTTTGGGGTGTTCAAAATCCAGATCCTAATTTTGTGGCTCAGGCCCTTTTAGTTTTAACAAGGTAAAAGTTGAGGGGCATGATTCTCCACTGATTCGTACCTTGGTAGTCATTTCACGTGTGAGAAGTGAATGCAAAGTGGCTGTAAAACATTTTTTCTGATTTGATAGTTTTACACCCATTTTGCTCTTATATCAATGACTACACATGGTGTAGGACAATGGTGAATTGGGCCCATTGTGAACAGACAGGATCCCTATTCTGTTTTCAATAAAGTAAAAACACAGTGGGTTAGTATTCAAACTTGTCCCCATTCTGGGGTTTTCCCTTTTCCATTAACTGAAATAACAATACAGAAAACTCAGCCTGAAGTTGGCTTCTTCCTGAGGTTTCTCCCTGCAGGGCCTCTCCTCCTTGCTCCTAGTTCTCCCTCTCTCACAGAGAGGCTCAAACCCTTTTATATCTCTGGGATGGAACTATAGGACTCACCTGACCAGGTAACCAGTAAAAATAATTCCGCATCTACAGAAATAACCCTGCATCCTAACACCTTCTTAACAAATTATGTGCTTCCCACGGGCAACAGGTCCCTCCTCAACATAACTCCATCCTCTCTATCTTCCTTCTTAACTCAAACTTCACATTTGCTTCCACTGTCTCTAATCTTGGAAACATCTTTGACCATGAGTTTGCTTTCTTTCTCCTACCTGTCTGTAAGGACTTTTAGAATACTGTCCACAAGTGCTACTGCTTCTTTACACCATTTCTACTGAAATCATTATCCAAGCCTTTATGTTTTCTAATCTTGATTACTGTAACTTCCTTCTCTGTGACCTCTCCAAGTTCTATTCTTCAGAATCCAACATATGTAGAAAATGCTGCTGCTGGGTTTTTTTCTCATTATAGAGAAATACAATAATCTCCCCCATGCTCAGATAATCCCACTGGTTCCCCAGTTCACATAACAAACTAACAGGCCTTCGTGATTTTTAACACCGAACATATATTTGCACCCGTATGGATCTTGTTCTCTCTACACTCCCCACTGAGCTATCTCCATTTGTCTAGAAGCAGCTAATTCACTGTGCCTTCATAGATCCTTCACTCCTGCAGTGCCTGCCTTTTGATGCAGCCTTCCTGTATCACCAACACCTCACATTTTCAAATCTCATCTAATATATTTTAACACTGTGTTTAATATTGAACTCAATAGCACTTTGTGATACAGTTTTTATGAGAGACTCTATAAAAACTAAAGTTGTAGAATAAGTAAAATGATGCAAGCCCTGCAATTATTCTTTTATAAAATTAAACTTTTATTTTTTTCAGCCTTATAAGAAAATAAAACTAAATATTTCTTTCTTTCAGAAAGCTCCCTGGCCTCTTTGGCAATTATCTGTTCTTTAAAGATTGCCACAGAATATTACCAAAGAAGGATTTCAGCCAGTCACAGATCAGAAAAATCAAATGTTTTCTTCTTAAAAACGGTACTAAATTTCTTACAGACATTATGGGCATAGGTTCATAAAAGGGCCTCAGTTTGACCTCTCATTTTACAGCCTCCATTAATTGTGGGCACAAATTATGGCATGTAGACATCTGATTTGCATATACAGTTTTGTAGTTGGATGTCTATTTGCTATCATTTGTGCCTCCCATTAATTGCATCTGCAAAATAGGAGTTTTTAAAAATCATGCCCTTCAGGTGTCCAGTTATATCACTCCTCTGCACTGGCCACTCCATTTAAAACTTTTGAACAATTATTAATAATTATAAGCCCAAACTTTAAAACAAAGGACCATTACTTTTCTTTTATTTAATGCTGTGGTTTGTCTAAACTGTATGATAATTGGCTTTTATAGTCAAATGTCTCTGCTTCACTTGGCATTTAACCACTTGCAAAAGCTGTAGATTGCCTTGTACACTCTTCTGCCATGAGCATTATCTCCTGAATATTGAATGCCCATTTACTCATTATTTTGTAAATACATTTGCATATTTCATGTTGTTAACAATGGATGAAATTGTGGCAAAGTAGTCCGTGGAAAATGCAGACCATTTCCAAAAAGCAGGGTGATGGATTTAAAAAAATTATCAAATTCTGAAGAATTAGGTAAAAAAAGAGAAGGGACAGGGATGGGCAAGAAAGACAAGAATAACAAGGAAACTAGGGCCAGGGGAAGCTGGAGGTAGAGAGGAAAGAAAAGGAAAGGGAGAACGGAAACGATGGAAAATGAAGGTAGGTATAGAAAAGCAGAGGAGAAAAGATAGCAAAACTATTGTATACCAGCTCAGTGCTTTGGCAGCCACTCCACCTGCTGAGATCCAGAATAAGTGAGGGATGGTATTTTGCATACCAAACATAAATATTCAGTTTGTATTGTCTCTCATTTACTAGAGTTTTCATTTTAAATTGCCATTGCCTTCGGGAACACTTAGTTTACATAGTAAGGGTAAAACTTCACATTCCAAGTTGTGGTCAATGGGTTTGGGATCTTCCCTTCCTCTCTTCCTCTCTTCCACTTACCTCTTCTTTGGGTTCATAACACAAATATAAAACATCTGTGAAGAGACATTCTAGTGCTTCAAAAAGAAAACGAAAAACCAAACCTCAGACTGAAACTAGCCTATTAAAAGTACCTGTATATTCAAGGAGTGCCAAAAGTATCCTTGTCTTCACCTCTGGAAAAAAGCACAAAGTTTTAGGACATAGTCAAAAACATCCCCTATATCACAGTGCATATGCAGATTCTGATTTTACAGTAATCAGAAAGAGTAATCAGATTCATTTTCCATAACAGTTAACTTAATTTTACATCTCACTTGATGAGAAAATTAGTCATATTCTAAGTCTCCGATCCTGCAAAGAGAACCATGTCGGTGGAACTACTATGCCTGTGCGGAACCACTGACACAAGGATCCCACATGCCAGCACTGCACAGAGGCACAGGTCCATCCACGCAAAGGCAGCTGCAGGGTCAGTCTATATCGCTGTTCGCTTAACACCCCAAACCCTTTGCACAAGGAATTCCACCTCATTTCAGTTCTGCTCATAGACGACCAGCCCTATTTTAATCATTTTCCCCATTTTATTCTTAAATCTCAAAATCAATGTTCACATGCTGTATATCAATACATCATGAGAAATCTCTCTCTGGAGCATTTTCATTCTATTGCAATCTCCGTTTTACGGATTTTGGTTTTTGTTTTGTTGTACAAAAATTTAGTATGAATTAAATATTTTTATGACCTGAAGCAAGGCAACACAATAAGAAAACTTTAAAAATTTTTCATAACTGTTTAAACTATGGTCTGCTTTTAGTAAGCAACAATAATTATGGTCAAGTAATGTCAAAAGTACATTGAGTAATGCAGGCCCAAAATTTGAGCTAACCTTTGCATTTTCAAAATTTGACATGGAAGGTCTTTCCTATTTATTTTAGGTGGGGCTGGTAGCACTGCCTGTTATTAAGTCTGTTAGGGCTGAAATTTTCCATGATGAATATTCAGGCTGAATGTTTTTGGAAAATTTTAGGCAAAATGGCTCACCAGTTCTAAGAATAAGGCTAGGAGAAAATACATTATTTCTCAATGTTAAAAAAATTCCATTAACCTTTCTTTGGAAACCTCCAACATGCCTATGCTTTGAAGAAGAGACTTGAAATACAGTGTCAGTGGGGTGGGTGAAGGGTGGACTTCATATCAGGGATGTGCCTATTGCCATTCCTGTGAAAATCTGCCCAAATTTTGCCAAGTTATAAGTCTTTGAAATAAAATCAGTTTGCAGATGCTCAAAGACTTGCTAGAATTTAAAGGCTCCAAAGATTCCATCTTCAATGAGCAAGCTCAACCCTCGCACAGTACCTTGCGCTGACCAGACCGCATACTTGCCATCCCCCTAGAGTAACTTGCACCATGTGGGCATCAATATGATGCCAAGTGATAGACTATCTGGGTGGTTTTTTAGTTTGCATTTTTAAAACCTAGAACATTTAAAAAATGACATTAAGAGCATTATAAAAAATCCAATGGAAAAATAGTATGTGATCATGTAGTTAAAAATTGTATTATACCGTAAACACACAAGGGACTGAATTAAAGGTGCACAGACAACCTTAATTCGGGATTCCTTAACTTTTAAGTGCTTGATTTGCAGCCATAATAATGTCCTTTTAAATTAGATGGTGGGGGTCGGTGTATAGCTAACTATTGGTTTTACGTCCACCAATATGTGGTAAATGGTATAAGCAAAGTGCAGAAGTGTAAATGTACTTAGTACTATTGCTTATATGCTTTATATGAACTTGGTGGTACACTGGAAATACTGATCCCTGACTGTAAAAAACATGAAAATTAATTATATTTTATATGATTCACTAGATAGGTTTTTAGAACCAATATGCAGTTGGAGTTATCTTTGGCACTGTCTTGCCGTTCACCGCCTTTAAGGCAATTTCAATGAACATATAAAGCTTTTGTCTTAGGTAGAGTAACTGATATGCAAGAGTTTGGCTTTTGTGTAAACTTAGTAAATACATTAAAGGCCACAATTTTCAAAGAAGTGGTTGTTGACTTGGGGGCCCAACGTACAAGATTTAGGCCTTGATTTTTAGAAGTGTTGAGCAGCCACTTCAAAGAGAGTTCTGAGCGTTCAACGCTTCTGAAAATCAGGCCCATGGTACCTCAGGTTAAGCACACAAGAACTAAGGCACTCAGAATTAGTGGCTACTTTTGAAAATGTGCCTACAACTCATCCTCAGCAGCCTTCGTTTTCAGATGAACCAAGGAAGTCTAAGGGCACATTAAAGATTAATATACTGGGGTCTAGAAGTCTGACCATTTTGCTTAGAAGACTGAAGCTTCTGTATGTGGAAAATTTTATTTTATAATCTGAAGTATGTAGCTATGTTGAGGCTATTTCTTGCAGCTCATTATAGATGGGATTTGATGAATCTCTGAATTCAAAAGCATTTAAGGTTTCTATGAATATTATTCTCCTGCTTATGCTAGAATTACAGGCTGCAGCAACTTTCCTTTATCCTCTTTATTATAATCTCGCTCTGTTTCATAATAACAATGAGGAGTCCGGTGGCACCTTAAAAACTAACAGATTTATTTGGGCATAAGCTTTCATGGGTAAAAAAACCCCACTTCTTCAGATGCATGGAATGAAAATTACAGATACAGGCATAAATGTATTGGCACATGAAGAGAAGGGAGTTACCTTACAAGTGGAGAACCAGTGTTGACAAGGCCAATTCGATCAGGGTGGATGTGGTCCACTCCCAATAACTGATGAGGAGGTGTCAATACCAAGAGAGGGAAAATTGCTTTTGTAGTGAGCCAGCCACTCCCAGTCCCTATTCAAGCCCAAATTAATGGTGTTAAGTTTGCAAATGAATTTTAGCTCGGCAGTTTCTCTTTGAAGTCTGTTTTTGAAGTTTTTTTGTTGAAGGATGGCTACTTTTAAATCTGTTATTGAATGTCCAGGGAGACTGAAGTGTTCTCCTACTGGCTTTTGTATGTTACCATTCCATATGTCTGATTTGTGTCCATTTATTCTTTTAAGTAGAAAGAATAAATGGACACAAATCAGACATCAGGAATGGTACTATATAAATCCCTGGTGAGCCTACACCTTGAATACTGCATCCAATTCTGGTCACCATATCTCAAAAAGGATATAGTGGAACTGGAAAAAGTTCAGAGAAGGACAATAAACAGGGGTACAGAATGGCTTAAAAAGAGATGACAAAGTGGGGGATATTATAGAGGTCTCTAAAATCATAAATGGTGTGGAAAAAGTGATTAGAAAAGTATTATTTATCCTTTCACACAATACAAAACCCAGGGGTTACCCAGTGAAATTCATAAGCAGCACGTTTATTACAAACAAGAAAAAGTACTTTTTCACACAACACACAGCTGAGCTGTGAAACTCCTTGCCAGAGGATGTTGTGAAGGTCAAGACTATAACAGGATTCAAAAAAGAACTACATAAATTCATGGAGGATAGGTCCATCAATGGCTATTAGCCAGGATGGAAAGGAATGGTGTCCCTAGCCTCTGTTTGCCAGAAGCTGGGAATGGGCAATAGGGGATGGATCACTTGATGATTTCCTGATCTGTTCATTCCCTCTGGGGCACCTGGCATTGGCCACTGTCAGAAGACAAGATACTGGGCTAGATGAACCTTTGGTCTGATCCAGTATGGCCGTTCTTATGTTATGTTCTTAGACCATTGAGGCAATGTACCAGGAAGGCTTATTGAGTCTTTAACGAGTCCTTTGGAAAAAGGATGGGAGCACCAAATTCTATGTGGATTTATAGAAAATTGAATGAAGTCACTTTAAAGGATTATTATCCATTACCTCCAATAGATGATACTCTGGATGTTGTAGCAGGTGCAATATGGTTTTCCACACAGGATCTTTTGAGTGACTATTGGCAAGTGGGAGTGTATCCAAAAGATGGGGAGGGAAATGCTTTCACTGGGTGATACTTGTGGCAATTTAAAGTGATGACTTTTGCCTAGAGCAATGCACCAGCCACATCCGCGAGGCTAATAGAAAGGGTATTACCTGGAATGCTCCTTTCAGCCTGTCTGTTATACCTAGATGATATCCTGGTGCCTGCTAAAACATTTGAACAGGAGCTAAAGAATTTACAAGTGGCCTGTGAGCAGGGCCGGCTCTGGCTTTTTTGCCGCCCTAGGCAAAAAAGCCAGCAACCGCTCCCCCCACATTGCGGCAGGGGCTCTCTGCTCTCCCTCGCCCGGCGGCCAGAGCGCCGGGGGGAGGGCGGAGAGCTCCCGGTGGCCAGAGCGCCGGGGGGAGGGCAGAGAGCCCGGCTGGGGCTCTCCGCTCTCCCCGGCGGCGAGAGAGCCCCCGGTGGCCAGAGCGCCAGGAGGAGGGCGGCAAGCCCGGCCGGGGCTCTCCGCTCTCCCCCCGGCGGCCAGAGCGCCGGGAGCAGGGCGGAGAGCCCGGCTGGGGCTCTCCGCTCTCCCCAGCGGCCAGAGAGCCCCTGGCGGCCGGAGCGCCGCGGGGAGGGCGGCGAGCCCGGTCGTGGCGCTGCTCTCGGGCCGGAGCGCCCCACCGTGCCGCCCCCCTCCAGGCGCCGCCCCAAACACATGCTTGGTTGGCTGGTGCCTGGAGCCGGCCCTGCCTGTGAGAAGCTGAAGGCAGCCATTTTGAAATGGAGCCCAAAGAAAAGTGAGTTGTTTCAAAAAGAGGTAATGTACCCTGGGCACATAATTAGTGAGGAGGGAATCTCCACTGACAAAAAGAAAATTGAGGCTGTACAGAGCTGGTCAACTCTCCAGACACTCTCAGATGTGCAATGTTTTAAAGGGCTATGGCTCCTTTTATAGACGATTCACTTTTGCCAATATTGCAATTGAGTGAATTGGTTGAGTGAAAAGGGGAAACCATTTCAGCAGTCAGCAGTGTGTGATGAAGCATTTCCAGGGTTGAAAGTCTCTGGTGACTGACCTGTTGTGGCCTATCCATGATTTAAAACTCCTTTCACATTGGAGACAGATGCTTTCAGTTTGGGGCAGTACTGACACAAGAACACGAGACCTGAGAGGTGGTAGCTTATTATTACAAAAGTCTAAGTTTTCCTGAAATAAATGATTGCATCCCTAAACAGAACTCCTAGCTCTGATTAAATCGATAGAACA